ATTTCTGCGCAGCTAAAGAAATAATCAACAGAGCAAATAGACACCCTACAAACTAGGTGCTGTACATGTTTCTAACAACTTTGCTTGCATTATTACACCTTGCATAGATTGCTTTTCATACCATATTTATTAAGGTGGTCAGTTATTTTGATATTTTAATATGGATATATAAATGACCCTGCACTATGGTAAAAAAAAGTCTCAATTAAATTTTGTCATTTTATGATGTAATATAAATTCACAGAAAGACTTTAGTAAAATGATGAGAAATGAATGTTTACCTTCTAACAAATATATTTTTAATTAGATTTTTTTGTAAATTTGCTTAAAAAAACAACTCACCAGAAAAAGGATTTTTAAAATTTGCTCATTTATTTATTCAGACCCTGGATTTTCTCCTATGGGCCCAGGAACATCTTATTTTCTCTACAGTACAGAGGATTAATATCTCATTTTCATTTATTTAAAATCTGTTGACTTGTGAGAGTTGAAAACTTTGTATTTGACAGTTCCAATTAAACGTTAATTGCAATTTGAAGAATTTGGTACTATAAAATTGAAAAGCTTAGCACTAAAACTGACATAATTTTCTTTGCTTCTCAATTAAAAGTCAAATTGTGGAAACGTTGACAGCTATTTAAAGCAAAATCTTATTGCCATGATGGATATTTTCGTTCTCAACCACCCAAACTAGTAATGGCCTCAGAAAAAATGACAAATTGACAACTGTAATCAAATAATCCAGATTACAATACCAGTATGAATCAATTGTGATCAATTGATTAGATTATAGGTGCAGAATATTGAGATATTTTGCATGTTGAACATATATTTTAATGAATCTATTTCTAGGCTTCAAATATGAACTATACCCAAATCCTTCCCTATGTGGAACTATGATTCCTAAAGATTCTGTTGGAAAGCAGTACAATTCCCTTTTGCCAAACAAGTCACAGGACTATGCTTGGAAACTACAGCAAAGGGTAGCAAATACTCACTCACATACACATGCTCATTCACAGAAAGTATGACATAGACCACTCTCTTGGCCACAAACTGCTTTTCTCCTTACTTCACTCAAAATTTTTCACCCCCGCCCCAAGGAAAATTACCCAAGCATAGCATTAGTCTCAAAGTTCAAGAATTTATGATAATCTCTATAGCAGATCTCAGTATGTTTTCTCTTGCCCCAGAGATCCAGTTACTAAAAAGGCAAGTAATTTACATACACCCTTCCCCCACACACATACTTGCCCAATTTACTATAGTGAAAGTAAGACAAAATTCCTATAAATATTTCCGTATAGAAAAGGGAGATAGAAAACATTAATGAAATCTAACTTGGCAGATGTTGCAAGGGGCACCTACATTGCACATGGGGAATGTTCCTTTATTTGGCCTGGGTTCTGCTCCCTAAAAGTAGTTGTATAAGGCTGGGCGTGGTGGCTCACACCTGTAATCCTAGCACTCTAGGAGGCCAAGGCAGGAGGATTGCTTGAGGTCAGGAATTTGAGACCAGCCTGAGCAAGAGCGAGGCCCTGTCTCTATTAAAAATAGAAAGAAATTATCCAGACAACTAAAAATATATAGAAAAAAATTTAGCCAGGCATGGTGGTGCATGCCTGTAGTCCCAGCTACTAGGGAAGTTGAGACAAAAGGATTGCTTGAGCCCAGGAGTTTGAGGTTGCTGTTAGCTAGACTGATGCCATGGCACTCTAGCCCAGGCAACAGAGTAAGACTCTGTCTCAAAAAAGAAAAAAAAAAGGAGTTACATACCGTGTTTCCCTGAAAATAAGATCTAACCATAAAATAAGCCCTAGCAGGATTTCTAAGCATTTGCACAATATAAACCCTACCCCGAAAATAAGCCCTAGTGATGAGCGTGGCGGTGTATCTGCACAATCCATGCATTTTGTCGTGGAGCGGTAAAGAAGAGGAACAGCCATTCTCATCTGCCCCATGAGAGCTCTATTGCTTGACATGAGAGACTGGGGCCAATGGTTCTAAAGGAAATAGAGTTGCAAAAAATTCAGAATGGAATTCGGGGTTTGGAGAGTTATGATGATGTTCCAGAAGAAGACGACTTAACTATATTTGAATAAATGTAGATTTGTACCGTACTGAAAAAAAAAAAATAATACATCCCCTGAAAATAAGCCCTAAGGTGTCTTCTTGAGGAAAAATAAATATAAGACCCTAGCTTATTTTTGGGGAAACACGGTAGTCTGTAGTTTCTATGCTTCTTAGCTCTCTGGAAAGTCCTTCTTTTTTTAGTATATACTGTAGCCATATCTGAGTTTGTCAATGGAAAATATTCTCTTGCTGGGTGTTAGCCTGCTTAGCTGGCTTCATTCTCACCAGTTTGGAGGAACAAAGGATTATTTTGTACCTTGAAAAATTACTCTTGTTTAGCCCAGGCTAGAAGCTCATATGCCAATATAACTTTCACAAAAAATGCTGTCTCTTTTTCTGTTTGATTCCAGTAAATTGCACAGGTTGATATTCACATCTGCTATTCTTTTAGAGGAATTCCTGTCTCTGAGCTACTTATAGTTACCTTGAATTGTGAGATGTTCCGGTAGAGGCACAATCTTACTCGTTTCTCCCTACACTTTCTTCAGCTTAAAAAATTTATAAGAAACTACCTTAATAGATGCAGAACTTTAATAACAAACTTGATGGAAATACTATTGATTTAGTTCTTGCCACAAAACTCAAGTTCAATTGACATTTATCATTCAAATCCAACCTCGGATTTATATTTTATCATTTGGAAATGAAAATCAGATACACCTTACAACCTGTAAGTTACAGAACTACTTTAATTTCTGTATTACCTTATACACCTCTTTGAAAAATCTATAATCCTTTTATTAGTTCACTTTTCTTTTTGGAATTTTTCAAATATAACAATAACAAACAAACAAAAAAACAGTTCTTATCATTTCCCCTAAAAACCACAAGCTCATTATGTGCATTATCTGCCTTCCAAGGTATTACTGGACACTAATGTATAAGATGTTTCACCACTTCATGATATGGGTTTCTATCTATCATTCTGGCCTATAATACATTTTTTTACTACCTACTTCTGACACTGGAGATACATTTTAAGATGTGTTTTAGCTTCAACTAAGTTTGTCTTCCTTCCTTCCTCCTCCTTCCTTCCTTCTTCCTTCCTTCCTTCCTTCCTTCCTTCCTTCCTTCCTTCCTCCCTCCTTCCTCTCTCTCCCTCTCTTTCTCTCTTTCTCTCTTCTCTTCTTTCTCTCTTTCTCTCTTTCTCTCTTCTCTCCTACCTCTTCTCTCTGTTCCTTTCTTTCTTTCTTTCTTTCTTTCTTTCTTTCTTTTTTTTACAGTAAAAAAACAACTTCCAAGTACCAGTGGCTTACACTAATAATGGATATTGATTTTTACCTATGTGGACTTCATTGTGGTTCAACAAAGACCCTGCTCCATGTTTTCATCATTTCAGGATCCATGCTGAGAGAATAATGTATACTTTGGACATGCTGGCCTCAAGACATGAGACGTGATAGAAAAGACACATGGGAAAAGAGGCATGACAGCTCTGTGTTGGCTCTCAAAGCCTATGATGGCAACAGGAATGCATATCTTCTCTTCATAAGGCATTGGCGAAGCAAACATCATATGGCCAAGCCTGACACTGATGATGTGGGAAGTGTAATCCTACCAGAGGAGCAAATAATAGGGTCATCCTTATGATCACAGCTCATTTTTAAATCACTCAATTAGATTGTTGAATCAGGTCTTTGGACGCTAATACTTCATTAGCCCACAGACCTTAGGAGATATTACCATTTCCTTGACACTTTTAGTCCAAAGTGATTTCTTAAAGCCTATATTGACAGAGGTTTATTCGCCACCTCCCCCCAACAAACATTGCCTGTAAAACTATTTACAGGAATAATGGCTATGATAAAACACAAAACGAAGAAGATTCTCTTGAGCCTTTGCATATCATTACAAAGTACATATATATCTTCACAGAAAGAGACATATTAAGGATAAAATGCCTGCCAACAAGATGGTATTAGTAACAGCAGAGGAAGATGTATAAGCCTCATTGATGGAATGATTCTGTTTTCATGTAGCGTTATTGGAAAAGAAAATCTCATCTGCTTGATTAGAATAGTTTTGATTAAAAACTAAATCTTAAAATGTAAAATGTGTTCTGTTATTAAATTACTCCATGGAAAAAATAATTCAGCTTTTTGTTTTGTTTTGTTTTAGATTTCCAACTGTTTGGCATTATATGGAAACAGTCTTTCAAATCAGGGAACTAATGCTTTTTGCCTCAAATTTGTTCAACAGGAGCAGATGTAGTTACTGGAACACCATCTGAAATTATGCTGCCATGTGGTGACAATCCCACAATCATACTGACATTTGAGACTGTGTTTCTTTCAAAAATATTATCTTTGTTGTTTGTAACTGCCAGTAAAATCACTCCACAGACACAGGTGTGCTATCTGGACATTATACTGAGATGTCTACTTTCCAGAAACATCTGAAATATTCCATAAACCACTAGCGAGTTGACCTTACACAACCAAATGAGATGCAGAAATTCTTCTGAACACCAGAGAGCACTGGGGAGAATACATACCACAACATAAAATCACAACATATATCATATTTCTCTGAGAAACATGCTTATATCAAAGCTTAAAACACCGAGCTTTAATGATCCTGTGCTCATATTTAAACGCACACATACACACAAACACATTCACACACAATGGACCATGCTGAAACATTGAAGCTATAAAGCACTCGTAAAAAAAATATCATAAATGTGCACGTTGTCTATGCAACCTTTTGGTTTTTTTCCTTAAAAATTTTAATTGGTTTTGGCCATAAAAATGTAAAGGCTTTTATCCCAGTGAATGCCATATGTTAATAAAGAAGAAAACGCCACATATGTGCTATAAAATGCTATTTTGAAGCTATGTAGCATGTGTTTCTGTATACAGTAGTACCTCATCTTCCTTTTGGTTGAGTCCCTGTTTCAGTTCTTCCACTCGTGATCTCAGTTTCTTTACTTCTGCCTCATCTTGAGCCGCACGATGGTTTGCGTGAGTCAGTTCTGCATTTGTTGTCTGGTATTGTCTGCTTAGTTTATAGTAGGCATGTTGAAGATTCAAGAGTTCCTTTCAAAAGAAAACAGGGATTCCATTATTTATAATCTACTTTGAAAGTCAGGAAATGGCAGCTTCTTTTGACAAAGGAGAAAAGCATGTTAGGAAGAATTCAGATATCATCCCTTTTATTTGGAACTCTGCATTGCTGTAATCAAATATTATGATTAGCATATAACTATAAATGAGAGATATGTTTGTGCATGGCTAAAAATGGCTAAAATATAAACTCTTTATGTTGTTGAGTCAATAATCCATTGTCCACCTCATGCAAAAGTACTTCATATGCATGCTTTCCAAAATAGGAAATCACAATCTACAAATGAAGAATAAAATAAATATAATAAATGCAAAAAAGAGTTGTTCATCTACTAAGTCGGCACATGTATTAACCAGCAAATTGGTATCAACTGATCAACACATAAGTGTACATATAGGAATAACATCTATCAGGTGTCAGGCAGGTGGAGGGTAGAGAATGGGTATATACAAACATGAGTGTGATGTGCACCAACTGGGGGGATAGACACGCTTGAAGCTCTGACTCTAGGGGGGAGGGGGAGCAAGGGAAATATATGTAGCCATAACATTTGTACCCCCATAATATGCTGAAAAACATAAATAATAAAAAAAAGTCAGTGCACTACCATGTTTCCCCGAAAACAAGATTTACCCATAAAGCCCTAGCAGGATTTCTAAGCATTTGCACAATATAAGCCCTATCCTGAAATTAAGACCTAGTTATGGGCGTGGCTCTGCAGCATATCTGCACAACCCGTGCATTTTGTCCCAGAGTGGTAAAGATGGGCAGCAATTTTCATCTGCCCCATCATGACAGCTACTATCCCAGAGGTGACTGGAAAGGTGTGGGCAGCCCTACCAACAAGGTTGGCTCCCCCTGTCAGGTCCCAGCCATCCTGTGCATGCTGCAAGCTGAAGCTTTAAGGGGAAAATAACACATCCTCTGAAAATAAGCCCTAGGGTATCTTCTTGAGGAAAAATAAATATAAGACTCCATCTTATTTTCAGGGAAACACGATATATGCTTTCAATTATTTTTCCAGAGAAAAAAGGTTTTATGCTGCTGCAGTTATGTTGTCACCTGCTATCCTTTCAGAAACCACATGAATTTGGCTCAGAGACCTGGAGCAAGGGACCCATCATGTGGTAAATAAACAGATGAATCTGTCATAAAGTGATTGAACTGCAAGTCAATCTTGTTACAACACCTCACACATATGAATTAACAGATTACATTAATTGGCCTCAGATTATTAATGTTGTTTCTCATGTTTAGTTAAAATTTGCAGTGCAAAATTAATAGTACTGTCATTATAGAAAACATTTTTATTAAAAATATAAAGAAAAAAGTAAACTCTAGTACCTCCTAAAGTTACAATACTATAGGAAAACCCAAGGATACTTCTTTAATTTCCTGAAACATACTGTCAGAGTATTTTATATCTGAAAATCATAATGAATAGCACATGTTAAAAATGCATAGTTAAATTTTCTTAGGACGACTAGATAGACAATTGGAAACAGAATCTTTCTTCACATTTAAACCAATAGGAATCCTAATAATGATGACTCAGACATTAAAAAGTTTTTTAAAAGCCATAAAACATTGAAAAATACTGGAAGAAAAATTTGGACATATAGGGGTTTTTCTATAATTAAGTAGGGGAAGTTTTCCTAAGTTTGGTCCCAAATCCTGAGATCATAAAATGATCAATTCAATTATAATAAGTATACAATTTGTGTATATCAAATAAAACAGTACATCCTACACAGAAGATGTAACAGGAGACAAGTCCTTTATTATATGAAGCGTTATATCAAGTCCACATAAATTAACTGGATATATGAAAGAACAGAGTTCACAGGAAAGAGAATATCTCTTAAACATTGAAAGATATTCAACTTCATTTAAAATAAAGAAAAAAATTATGACAATTTATACAAAATTATAGAAATAGAGAACAGGGTAATGGCAGCAAGGAAGATAAGAGTGAAGTTGGAGGGGATCCAGAAGATGTGGGGTGTCTATATAAAGGCAACATCAGGGACCCTTGTTGTAATGCAAATGCTCCCTCTTTTGACTGTATAGAAGCCAATATCCTAGTTGTGCTATGGTGCAATAGGTTTGCAGGATGATGCCATTGGGGAAAACTGGGTAGAGGGTTCCCAGCTCTTTCTGCATTATCTCTTACAGCTGCATATGAATCTATAATTATCGAAAATAAAATACTTAAAAAACACATCAAGATATTATTCTCATGTTTTCAAATTGGCAAAAGCTAAGTGTTATATTCTGTGGTAAAATGCAGAAAACCAGGGATTCACTCATGAAGAAATTATTGCAATATCTTTCAGATTAATGCAGTATCACTCTTGAACCAGCGGTTTTTTACTTAGATTATTCTTACAAATACTTACGCATAGTTGCATGCAATGTTATGTGTGTAAGGATGTGTATTGCAGTGTTATTTTTGCTGTTGTTAATGAAATGGTTTAAAATAATATCCATCGCATGAGGCTGATTAAAATTTAAACAAGCCTCTACATAGATATTGGCAGTCTTTGTACGCTGTTGGAGAAATACTTCAACTAAATTACTATCCTCTAGTAAATAAACCCATGTGAAGTATAATGATTAAGGAAAAAAAGAGTGAAGAAGTGACCTGTTGATATGAAATCCTGATCCTGTGACTCCCAAGCACTTCGACAGAATCCTGAGGAGTACGATGAGGGGGTGGCCTGCGGGCAGGCCCAGAGAACTGCTGGTCCATCAACTCTTTGAGCATGGAAGAAGGAGAGGCCGCTCCCCACACCCAACCCCCACCCTACCAGCCCCTGCCATGGACATCCAAAGAATGTTTGCCTCTTGGTATCTACTAAAACCCTGAGCACCAAATGAAGGGGAAAGTCTTGGCAGAGGTGTCCTACAAATCCCACACTCTCCCCTTTCATAGGAGTCAGAATCACAGCCATTGATATTTAAACCCGACTGATGCCAACAGGCAGCAGAGAATAGACGGATTTGCATTGGGCAGCTAGAGCCTGGGCACTCAAGCTGGCTGTCCGATGGGCTTGCCATGGTCATTCCCAGGAACACTGCAGTTTATGACAACATCGCAGTGTTTTGCTGAATTACATCACAAATCACATTTAAAATGCAAACAGATTCCTCATTTCTTCTCTTCAGAACACAATTTTTAAATGTCAAATTATATACCTCATTCTTTTACAAGGAAACATGTACTAGAGAACACAATTCTATTATTCAGAAAGACAATGGAACATTTAAAGAGAGATCTTTCTTGATCTGTCAAACATAAGTAAAAATTATGCTGCAAAAATAACACAGAGCCTAATGGAAAGGTTATAACTTTACAAAATGGTGGCTTTTTCTCAGGAAAAATGGTGGAATTATGCACCCAGTTTCAATTACTTAAATACTTTCGTGACTTAGCAAAATTATTTCTCAGTCAATGCTTTGTCATTAGGTTTGTAAAATTTACTTAAAGGGATTTAAAAGGAATTAAGTAAGCAAAAACCTTGAGATGCACATATAAAAAAGGGGAAAAAAAAGGAAAAGAAGGAAAGAAGGGAGAAATGAAAAAAAAGAAAGTAAAGCACCGTTGTTTGGCAACACAGATTTTACCCTAATCATGGATCACCCTTCTAAGTAGAGCCCTAACATTCATACTGTAATGTCTGGCCATTTTCTCAGGGAAGGACAACTTATGCTCAGGTCTAGGAGGTAAATATTACTCAGTTTATTCTCATGAGTGTCAGAGTGTTAGCCAAGACAGCAGCAAGAGCAGCATTTGAGAACTTCATTCAAGACATACTAAATCTGAAACTCAGGGGCTGGAGGCCAGCAATCGTGGTTATAGCAAGCCCTTCAGATGTTTCTGATTCGGCTTAAAGTTTGAGACCATTGTATAAGCCAATTCCAGTAAGCTTTGCTCCTATCAGTGACTATTGTAGAGAGGTAGATGTAACATAGCTGAACAATGAGGCATGAGGAGAAGTCTCCTTGGGTGGGAAGAAATGTTCTAGAATTTTTGTCACTTAAAAATATGCAAAAAAAGATACATGTGTAGAGTTACAACTGCAATCTGAGCCGATAGGGGAGTCCTGCTTACACCTACGGTTGGAAGATCCTGGGTATTTCTTGTCATGTGAGAAAATACACCTAATTTTATCATAGCCAAGTATATCCTAATTATGTTCATAGGGTACCTATTAATAAAGAAGAAAACTGGATTTCTCATTAAGGAGAAAATCATATGTTTTCATTAATACAAAGTTATTTTATTTTATTTTATTTTATTACAAAATCAGCTTAAAATGAAAGGGATTGTGTTTGCCAGGTATACCTACTATGAAATAAATTCTTCACATACCTTTTCTCACTTAATCCACATGACAATTCTTTGGTGAAGGTAATATTTTCCCTAGTCAGTCTCAGAGATGCTATGCAAATTGCTTATCACCAACCTCACTGTAATTAATCCTATACTTTCATTTCATCAAAATGATATCACATGGCTGGATTTAATCTTGTTGTCAAGATTTATCTTCAAGATTTGATAAGTTCTTTGACATTTTGATTCATTAATTCACACCCTCTCTATTTTACTTTCAGGGGAAGAGATGAATTCTTTAATTCTCAAAGCTATGGCCTTTGCCACTATCCATTCACTTTTTATTAATCTTGTGATAAGAAAATGATGGAAATGTCGCCACACACTCAATTCTTTCTTTCCATACATGTTACAGTAAATGATGATGGTACACAAGATCACACACTATAATTCCATGTATATGTTTGATACTATTATCTGGAACTTCAATATCCCCTGTAACTTGCTTGTAGATGTGCAATTGGAAGGCATCCAAAATGGATGTTAATTTGAAGAGTTTAAGGTTTGCAATTGAAAAGGGAATTAGGTAGATAGTAAAGATTTATATAGACCTTAGAGCAAGTTTATTCTAATATA